AATGCCCATCAATGATAGACTGGACAAAGAAAATGTGGTACATATACACCATGGAAAACTACACAGCCATAAAAATCAATGCATTTGTGTCCTTTGTAGGGACTTGGATGAATCTGGAAACCATCATTCTCAGCAAACTGACACAAGAACAGAAAGCCAAACACCATATGTTCTCACTCATAGGTGGGTGTTGAACAATGGGAACAGGTGGACTCAGGGAGGGGAGCATCCCACACTGGGGAAAGTTGGGGGGGGTAGAGGAGAGACAGCAGGCGGGGAGGGAGCAGAGGGTGGAGAGGGATAACATAGGGGAGAAATGCCAGATATAATATGCACCTAAAGTAAAATAAATAAATTTAATTTAAAAAATACAAACATTAGCCAGGTGTGGTGGCACACGCCTGTTGTCCCAGCTACTCAGGAGACTGAGGCAGGAGAATAACTTGAACCCGGGAGGCAGAGGTAGCAGTGAGCCAAGATCGTGCCACTGCACTGCAGCCTGAGCTGAGATTGCACCACTGCACTCCAGCCTGGGCCACAGAGCGAGATGAAAGAAAGAGAGAAAGAGAGAGAGAAGAAGGGAAGGGGAGGGGAAGGAAGGGGAAGGGAGGGGAGGGAAGAGAAGGGGAGGGAAGCGGAAAGGAAAAAGGAAAAGATGAAGGAAAGGAAAGGAGAAAGGAAAGGAAAAAGGAAATGAAAGGAGAAAGGAAAGGAAAGGAAAAAGCAAAGAGAAGGGAAGGGAAAGGGAAAGGGAAGGGAAACGAAAGGAGGAAAGGAAGAAAACAACTCTGACTGTGAACTGCTGCTCGAGGTTCTTGATTCCTAATAGAAGTATACCAAAAATCCATGCTCTTGCAAGTTTTAGGCAGCTATTTGATTTGTTCTCTGTATCGTTACATACATAAAAACACCACCATTCAATAGGAAATTTTAATAATTCATAATTTTAGTCTAGTTTCTTAAAAGATCCCAGACAAAAAGAGTGGCATTTCTTCTATTTTGGGTTTTGTCTGATCTAAGTGCTCAAACTAGGTGTCTGCGTTGGTAAAGAAAAGCAATGTACCAGTGTCATTCTTTAGGACAGCCATAGAAACCACAGAACAGTAAAACTAAAAGCATAAAAGTTCAGATGCACTCCCTTCTACCTTTTGGCTTAAAGCTATGGATGATCCCCATTTTTTAAGGTGTGTAACTAAATAGTATGAAAAGGTTCTCACACTTTATTTTTATTTCATTTTATTTTATTTACTGAGATAGAGTCTTACTCCATGACCCAAGCAGAGGTGCAGTGGCACAAACATGACTCACTGCAGCCTCAATCTCCCAGGCCCAAGGAATGAGATAGGCTTGTCTCAGCCTCCCGAGTAGCTGGGACTACAGGCACGTGCCTTCACACCTGGCTAATTTTTTTGAAAGGTTCTCATATTTTAAACAGTAGTTCAGTAGTTCACTGTTAGATCAAACAACCATCAGAATTCTTCCACTCTAAATCCATGTCAGTTTTGGAGAAAACATAGCAAAAAGGGACATATGCTGTTTACAAATATTTTGTTTGTTCGTTCTTCGAGACAGAGTCTCACTCTGTCACCCTGCCTGGAGTGCAGTGGCATGATCTTGGCTCACTGCAACCTCTGCCTCCCAAGTTCAAGCGATTTTTGTGCTTCAGCCTCCCAAGTAGCTGGGACCACGTTATGCCACCATGCTTGGCTAATTTTTGTATTTTTAGTAGAGATGGGATTTCGTCATGTTGGCCAGGTTGGTCTCGAACTCCTGACCTCAAGCGATCCACTTGCCTCAGCCTCCCAGAGTACTGGAATTACAGGCATGAGCCACCGTGCCTGGCTTTTACTATTTATTATTATTATTTTTATTTATTTTTTGAGGCAGGGTCTTACTCTGTCACCCAGGCTGAAATGCAGTGGTATGATCTCAGCTCACTGCAACCTCCACCTCCCAGGCTCAAGCAATCCTCACACCTCAGCTTCCCAAGTAGCTGGAATTACAGGTGTGTGTCACTACACCTGGCTAATTTTTTGTATTTTAGTAGAGATGGGATTTCACCATGTTGACCAAGATGGTCTCAAATTCCTGATCTCAAATGATATGCCCACCTCAGCCTCCCAAAGTGCTGGGATGATAGACATGAGCCACCATGCCTGGCCTGTTTACAAATATTAATGTCAGGAGTTAAACATTTTCAAGTCCAACCTATGATAAAAGACTAATACTTCCTACTACCTTGCATGGGGTTCACTATTTACTATTTTCTTGGGAATATCACAGGACAATCACAATTACATCACTTTAGACTGTATAGATAGCAGTTCACAACTTACTCCTGTGCGTTTAGATGTATCTGGAAGACCTGTATCTGTTAGTGAACGTTATTTACTACAATGGAGGAGAAAACAAAATTCCTGCATCTGGACCTTTGACTGATCATTAAAAGGGCTCCTGTTACCTGCTCTCCCTGTTGCATGTATCTGTCCACTTGGATAACTTTTAATATGAATATTTTTATATTATATAAATTCTTAACTGGCCTATCACCTTTAAATTGTATATATCATTATATCTGACATTATTGTAACTACTGTACAATCAATAAAATTCCTATAAGAAATACTGCTTAAAAAAATATCATGCTGAGAGGTGAACCTATATCCCAAGTTAGTTGGTAGTCACTTTATATGATGTTTAAAATAAATATATTTTAATGTTAAGTTGAATAAAAGCAAAATTAAAAGCTATAAAAAAAGTGGGGCCATGTAGGAGGTGTTTGGATTATGGGGGTAGATCCTTCATGAATGACTTTGTGCCTTCTCTCCAGGTAATGAGTAATTTCTCACTGTATTACTTCTCATAAGATGTGATTGTTAAAAAGAGCTTTGAACCTCCTCTTTTTCTGCTCCTTCTTTTACCATATGGCACTCTGGCTCCGCTTCTCCTTCTGCCATGATTAAAAGCTTCCTGAGTTCCTCACTGGAAGCAGAACCTGGTGCCATGCCTCTTATCCACCCTGCCGATCTGTTAACCAGGTAAACCGCTTTTCCTTCTGACTTACCCAGCCTCAGATATTCCTTTAGAACAAGGCAAAATGGACTAAGATACTTCCTTTCCTGGAAAATGCCTTTATGGGCATGTTAGGGTTTGATGTTCTAGGTTTCCTGTTTTGGGGTTCCATGGCTGAGCAAGACCCCTTGTTTATTCACATGAATTCTTTTAAAGAATTAGCAATATATCATACACATAAAATGGATATGCCTACCAATAAATAATAAAAATAATAACTGGACACTTAATCTCAGGATAAGATATAAATACTGCCCAAAATTTTTGAAGTTGCATCTTTCTCAGATTTCAATCTTCTTCTCTTTTTGAAAGTTAATCATTATCCTGAATTGTGAATCAATTACTTCCTTGCCTTTTTAAATGATGTTATTTCATATGAAAACAATATAGACTTGCAAAAATTGAAATAATTGACTATCCTTGTTAATTGTGTTTTCACTCATCATTGTGTTAAAGATTCAGCCATGCTCATGTATTCAGTTTTAGTCTATTCATTCTCACTTCTCTATATTATTTCATTATTTATCCATGTTATTTTTGATGGGCTTTTCAGTGGCTTTCAGTTTGCTGTGCTAGACTTTACAAGTGGCTATGAATACTCTTTTACGTATCTTTCTGTTACTATTGGCCTTGGAACCATCCACTTTCTTTAGAAAACTGAATACTTCTATTTTTAATCAATTTTGCATTTACCTTGCAATTACTCTGAGGGAATCTTTTGTTTTCCTCATTCTGGCATTCTTAGTCAGCAGTTTACTGTAGCCCTTTGAAAATATACTGAAATCACCTTAGATAATTCATTGAGAGAAACTATTAAATTAACACAGTAATGCCAATTAACTGTCTCTGTAGAGGTGTTTTCTGTTCCCTAGAGGTCCCACAGAAGCCCCTAACATATTTTGGGAAATATGCAAAAGATTTTCATAGTTCTGACATCACATACTTTATTTTTTTCATAAAATTGTGTTGGTGTTCCCTAAGTATCTTAAATTGAATTAACTCTGAATAAATATATAGAATCTCTGGTGGAATAAGGAAAAAAAAGGAAGTACTACTTCCACCTCAAATAGGTGAAGCAATCACTCATTTCAATGTCCATTTTCAATTGATCAGTTGATTTCAGCCTTCATTACATTGAAGGTCTAAATTCTTCTCTCTAAAGGAGCCTGCCAGATTTAACAAATAAAAATAGAGGACATCATATTGAATTTGAATTTCAGATAAATAATGAATAAAATTTTACTGGCAATATATCTAATGTAATATTTGAGATCCACTCGTACTAAAGAAAATACTCATCTTTTATCTGAAATGCAATTAACTATGCATATCATAGTTTACCTGGTAACTGTATATCGATTCTACCAGTTAGAGCATTCAAGGTTTCCCTCAAGCTTTTCAATTTAAGATATTTCTTGTATGTCAAAAAGTCACTAGTTGTGGGACACTTAGTTAACCTTTTCATTGTTCTTGCCTACATCTTCATTTCATACAGTACATTATCTTCAAGCAAAACACTGAGTGGCTTCTAAAAACTATTTTGCCAAAGGAGGATCACTTTTGCTCATGGTTCTCTGATAAGAACATTTTCCAAGGTGCAGCAAATTTCAATCTTCAAAAACCCGCAGCTACTCACAGTGTAAGATGTCCATGGGGGTGGGGCTCTGGGCCTGGAAAAACTAGAGCAGTCTGCATGCCGCGAGGAGGTGAGCAGGTAAGAAGCCTTCTGACCCTCACAGGCTCCGGTACTGACACCTGCTTTGGCAGAATCTTTTATTGTTCCCTTTAGCCAATCAGATTGGCACTTTTTAGCCACGCACTTACTTCCTTAGCAACCATCAGTCCTAGCAGCAGGCCAACTATCTTCCTTGAGATTTTAGGAGCTGGATTTTCCAGTTCCGGATTGGCCACAGCAAACATCTTACGAGATGTCCCACCAAGAGGGCAGCGCAGACGGCTTACAAGACTTAGGTACTGAAAGCCTGTTCAGCAGTCCAGAGGAGCAGTCTGGAGCAGCGGCAGCGGCGGAGGCCTCCTCGGACATTGATATAGCGACCTTATGTGTGAGTATGAGAATGACTAGAGATGACGGTGATACCAGGGATGGTGGTTTCCCAAACGATGCCAGCACAGAAAATCGAAGCACTAACCAAGAAAGTTCAAGTGAAGATGTCGAACTTGAGAGCATGGAGGACTTTGAGCGTTTCTTCATGGGTGGTGGAAGCTTATTCTATTACCCTTTACTAAGAGAGGATGAGATAGTAGAGGAGGAAGAGGAAGAAATAGAGGAGGAGGGAGAAGAGGAAGAAGACGAACAGGCTCAGATGTGTCCACAATGCGGTGGTGCCAACCATGAGCAGTGTTTGTTAGAGGAGAATCGGGTGCTGGAGGAGTGGATTTCCTCAGAGACATCTGCCCTGCCTCGACCTCGCTGGCAGGTCGTTACTGCTCTTCGCCAGCGGCAGCTGGGTTCAAGTACCCGCTTTGTCTATGAGGCCTGTGGGGCAAGAGCCTTTGTGCAGCGTTTCCGCCTGCAATATCGTCTTGAAGGACATATGGGTTGTGTCAATACTGTGCACTTTAACCAGCGTGGCACCCGGCTGGCCAGTAGTGGTGATGACCTAAGAGTGAGAGTGTGGGACTGGGTGCAGCAGAAGCCAGTATTGGACTTTGAGAGTGGCCACAAAAATAATGTCTTACAGGCCAAGTTCCTTCCTAACTGTGCTGATTCCACCCTAGCCATGTGTGCCCGTGATGGGCAGGTACGGGTAGCAGAACTAATTAATGCATCATATTTCGAGAGTACTAAGCGTGTGGCCCAGCACAAGGGAGCTGCCCACAAGTTGGCTCTGGAGCCAGGCTCTCCTTATAAGTTCCTCACTTCAGGTGAAGATGCCGTTGTCTTCACCATTGACCTCAGACAACACCAGCCAGCTTCAAAAATTGTGGTAACAAGAGAAAATGGGAAGAGAGTGGGACTGTATACAATCTCTGTGAATCCTGCTAATACCTACCAATTTGCAGTGGCTGGACAAGATCAGTTTGTCAGGATTTATGACCAGAGGAGAATTGATGAGAAAGAAAACAATGGAGTACTCAAGAAATTCGCTCCTCGTCATCTGGTTAATTGTAATTTCCCAACAAGCATCACCTGCACTGTGTACAGCCACGATGGCACGGAGCTCTTGGCCAGCTACAATGATGAAGATATTTACCTCTTTAACTCCTCTCACAGTGATGGTGCTCAATATGCAAAGAGATTTAAGGGACACCGAAATAATACCACCGTCAAAGGTGTTAATTTCTATGGTCCCAGAAGTGAGTTTGTCGTGAGCGGTAGTGATTGTGGACACATCTTCTTTTGGGAAAAATCATCTTGCCAGATCATCCAGTTGTTGAAGGGGGACACAGAAGGTACAATAAACTGTCTTGAACCCCACCCTTACCTACCTATGTTGGCAACCAGCGGCCTAGATCATGATGTCAAGATCTGGACACCCACAGCTGAAGCTGCCACTGAGCTTACTGACTTAAAGGATGTGATTAAGAAGAACAAGTTGGAACGAGATCAAGATAGTTTGTACCATACCGGCCTGTTTGACCAGTACATGCTTTGGTTCCTCATGCGCCACCTGTCACAGAGAGATCATCACCCGGCCTGGAGAGCCAGATTCCCAGGAGAAGAATCGGATGAGTCTTCCAGCACCTCAGATACATCCGAGGAGGAGGGCCAACACTGAGTGCCATGCATACCATCCCAAAGGCCTCACACCCAGTCCAGCTAGATGCCACCTAAGTACACTGGATTTTAAAATGCAGTAGATTAATAGATTTGCTTTTTGCCTTCTATTTTCCACAATGTATACTGAAAACCATCTATTCCATTCTTTCCTCTCTCCTTTCTTCCTTCCACACATTCTTTCTTTCTCATTTCTTTCCTCATGGTTTCCTTATGCCTCTTTTGTTACCGCTTATTCTTACATGAGTGCATACACAACTTACTTATGCCTCTTTTCCTTTGTTCCCTAATAGTTGACATCTAAAATTTCCTAATTTTGTTGAAAAAAATTAATAGCCTTATTAGATGCATCTACTCAATTCTGACATTCTGAAAACGATTACCTTTTAACTTTTTTTCATCTTCAACAATTTTTTCTGAAGATCAAGTTCTTCAGTTGACCTGAAAATTTCAAAAATATGTTTCTTCTTTAGAAGTAAAATAAGACAAACTATAGTTTTTCTCTATTGATGCTGACACTTGGCTACACACACTCAGAGAGGGAAAAGATGAGGAGTAGCGTGTAGATTAATTTCTAGTCAGATAATTCATCCCCTCAGAATAAATAACATGAGACTATCTACATTTTATGAATCCATATGTTAATAATTTTGAAAAATTTGAGTACAATGTAGCTGGTAAGATCTAAATTAAGTTTGATCACATGACATCATTTACTCTGTGCATTAAGTGTTCTTGAAGTTTTAAGATTGGGAATTCCCAAAGGGTTACCTTCCAGGAAGTCCTCCTGGAACAGCCATTTCCTATAAATGCCAGCTACTGGTATAAAAATCTCTCATATTTGAAAATACATTTTAATTAACTTTTAAGAACAAGTTGCCGTAAAAATTGTTTATGCTTACACATAACCATTTGGTGTAATTGGTAGAAAAAATCCTATTTGACATCCTCACATTGCTTAAAATTCTCTTTACTGCTTAAATTGCTTTAAAAATTCTTTTAAGCCTTATTTAATATAAATTAAATAAGGATACTGCATGTCCAATTACTGACCAATAAAAATATTCATCTTTATTTTGTATGTGTTATTTGTATGGAATGAATTTAGAAGATCACCTTTCCCCCAGCACCCGTGAACTATACCGCACCATTCTTTGCCATCTTTTCTTGGAAAAGAAGGATGTAATGAAACATCCTGTGTCCTGACAATGGCTTTTCTTTGGTAATACTTCTTCAGATAAGCATTATCTCTGTTTCTTTGGGAAAATGTAATTTGCATAATGAGATTAGAATTTAGGATGGAACACAACTTGACTGAAGTTTGTGTTCACTGAGATCCAAAGCTAGGGACAACTGCCCTGGGGTCTGGGAGCCTCAAGAAGCCCCTACCAAGCTCTGCTGTCAGGAAAGGATCTTAAGAGTCCCAAAAGAGAATTTATAGGCATATGAAGAGAGTTATAAACTAGAATTCCAAGTTTGGGGCCCCTGTATAACTTCATGGGATGTAAACCAACAATAATATTAACAAAATATTAAAAAAATCATTTGGGATTTCAAGTGACACCCGGTGTCAGTGTGAGCAAAAGTGAAAGCAGATAAATTATGCAGTTATTTTTCCACCTGCTGTTTGGAAGTTCTGCCTGCGTGGGGGATTTATATTCTGCTCACTTAGTTAAACTAAAACTTTACTCCAAGTTCCCTGAATGGTTCCGAGATTGCTTGTGATACAAGAGGCATTTGGTAAAAGATTTGGGAGGCAAAGGTAAAGTATTAGCCACGTTTATTTTATGCTTTATACTTAGAAAGGTGCTGCTGCAGCTCATGAACATTTTTGCTTATATCCTGGCTTACCTTGTTGGTGTGGGGCAGCATCTGGGCCCACACCTGCTCCAGTTCTCCCTCATATCTTCCTTCTTCTTCACCAGCTCCATAAAAAAGAATACCACTTTTTGTTTTTGTAGGGCATTGATGATATTGAAATTGGAGGTTTGAAGGCAGTGAAAGATCAACATGGGTCCCAGACAGTCCTTGTGAGCTCCAGATATTTCTAATGGATTCCATTTACCCTTGTTTCCTCTACTTTGCATCATCTCTTCTTCCTGACTTCCCTGCTGACCTTGGGTTTCAGCATCTGATGCAAAGACAAAAGCCTTGCTGAGACTGATTAACCGGCTTCCACATTTTAATGAGGCGTGGACTCTATTTAAGTCTCTTCGTATATGTGTATCACCCCCTATATGTGCATCATCTTATATTGTTCAGTTGGAGTGTTTGTTTCTCTGATGGAACCCTGATTGATGCGACCTCCCCAGCATGCTTTGGACTGAGTAAACCCCTGGTTACTTGGACTTGGACATTTGCCATCAGAAGGAATTATAGGTCCCTAAAGGGAGAAGTTGAACTTCACACACACACACACACACACACACACACACACACACACACACACACGCACACACATTCTTACATTCTCAGTGTGAGCTGAGCTAGGGTCCACTGACTCAGAAGTGGCCCAGTCCTGGGAGCAGGAAAGAAAGGGAAGGGTGAAATGGTATGAACCCCATTCTTCCTCAGTACTGGGGGGCTGGAGAAACACCATCTCCTTCTCCTGGCCTGATCCAGCCTCCAGGAAGGAGAGCAGATTGAGTCTCAGGCCTGCAACTTCCTGTCCACACTGCTGCTCTCTGGGTTTGAGGGTAGCTAAGAGATCTGGGGAAAGAAGGGGACGGAATCAGGAAAAGATGTTGATCAAGAAAGATGACAACCAGGGGTGAGGGCTGAAAGTAAATTAAAGATAAAAACACCATTTAAAAAGTAGAGAGGAGGGAAACAAAACTAAAATCCACCCCAAATCCAAACCTGCCTGGAAGAAAAGAAAGTCCTCTGGTGTCACAGAGACATTATTTGGAAAGGCTTGCTTTGCTGCAGGAGCGCTCAGGCCTCAGTGTGACCCTAGAGATGGAGAACGCAGCCTCTACAACTCGTCCTAGTCCTGGCTGGGGGCAACTTCCTCTTTGTCATCCTCCTTGTCTTCCTCTCTCCCTCGCTGTCTCTCTTGTGCTGTCTCCCTCTCAATGAAGCTCATGTGGTAGAGGTATATTTTGTTTTATTGCACTTCATTTATTGTGCTTTGCAATTATTGTGCTTTACAAATATTGCTTTTTTTTTTTTTTACAAATTGAAGGTTTGTGGCAACTCTGCAATAACCAAATCTATCAGCACCATTTTTCCAACAGCATGTGGTCACTTTATGTTTCCACACCACATTTTGGTAATCCTTGCCATAGTTCAAATTTCCATTATAATTTTATCTGTTTTGGTGATTTGTGATTGATGATCTTTTCTTTTTTTCTTAGACAGTCTTGTTCTGTTACCCAGGCTAGAGTGCAGTAGTGCAATCATAGCCCACTGCAGCCTCCTGGGTTCAAGGGATCCTCCCACCCCAGCCTCCAGGTATGAGGGGGTACATGCCTGAACCACTACACCTGGCTAGGCTATTTTTTACAAAATTTTGTTAGAGATAGGGTCTTGCTGTGTTGCTCAGGCTAGTCTGGAACTCCTGGCCTCAAGTGATCCTCCTGAGCAGCTAGGATTACAGGCAAGAGGTGATTGGTGATTATCTTTCATGTTACTGTAGTAATTGTTTTGGCACACCATGAGCTGTGTCCATTATAAGATGATGAACTTATTCGATGTTATGTGATTTCTCAGTGCCCCACCCACCAGCCATTCCTGTGTGTCTCCCTCTCTTCTGGCCTCCCTACCCCCTAAGACACAAGAATATGAAAATTAGGCCAATCAATAACCCAACAATGGCCTCTAAGTGTTGAAGTGAAGAGTCACGTGTTTCTCACTTTAAATTAAAAGCTAGAAATGATTAAGCTTAGTGAGGAAAACATGTAAAAAGCTGGGATAGGCCAAAAGCTAGGCATCTTGTGACAAACAGTCGACTAAGTTGTAAATGAAAAGGAAAAGTTCCTGAAGAAAATTAAAAGTGCTACTCCAGTGAGCACATAAGTGATAAGAAACCGAAACAGCCTTGTTGCTAATATGCAGAAAGTTTGAGTGGTCTGCATAGAAGATCAAACCGACCACAACATTCCCTTAAGCCAAAACCTAATCCAAAGTCAGACCTTAACTTTCTTCAGTTCTATGAAGCCTGAGAGAGGTGAGCAAGCTGCAGAAGAAAATTATTAAGCTAGCAGAGGTTCATTGGTTCATTATGTGTAAGGAAAGAAGCCATCTCCATAACACAAGTTCAAGGTAAAGCAACAAGTGCTGCAGCAAGTTATCCAGAGGATATAGCTAAAACAGTGTGTTTGTCTGTTGCATTGCTATAAAGAAGTATGTGAGGATGGGTAATTTGTAAGGAAAGCTTTTATTAGCTCATGGCTCTCTGGGCTGTGAGAGCATGGTACTAGCATCTACTCAGCTCCTGGTGAGGCCTCATGGAGCTTTTACTAGTGTCTTAAGGTGAAGGCAGAGAAGATACATCGCATGGTGAAAAAGGGAACAAGGTGGCAAGGGAAGTGGGGAACATTCTTTTAAACAACCAGAACAACCAGATGTCATGTGAACTCAGAATGAAGACTCACTCATCACCAAGGGGATGGTGCTAATCCATTCATGAGTGATCTTTCCTCATGATCCAAACACCACCCACCAGGCCCACCTCCAACACTGAGAATTGCATTTCAAAATAACAGTTAGAGGAGATAAGCCTTCAAACCATGTAATTCCACCTATTGCCCCCCAAATCTCATGTTTATCTCACATTGAAAAATGCCATTACACCCTGCCAATAGTCTCCAAAAGTCTTAACTCATTCCAGCATCAAGTTCAAAGTGTTAAGTTTCATCTGAGATTCATCTTTCACCTATGAGCCTATAAAATCAAAACAAGTTATTTATTCCCAAGATACAATGGCAGTACAGGCATTGGATAAACACTACCATTTCAAAAGCAAGAACTTGGCCAAAAGAAAAAGGCTATAGGCCCCAT